CGTTGAAAAAAAAATTAAAAAAAAAAAAAAAGAAGGCATCCAGATGGCCAATGGACACATGAAAAAATGCTCAATATCACTCATCATCAGGGAAATAAATCAAAGCCACAATGAGATACCACCTCACACCTGTCAGAATGGCTCACATTAACATTGGTGCATTGTTACATTGTAACATTGTTTCAATCTCCTTTGCATTATTGGTGGAAATGCAAGATGGTGCAGCCACTCTGGAAAACAGTATGGAGGTTCCTCAAAAAATTAAAAATAGAACTAGCCTATGACCCAGCAACTGCACTACTAGGTACTTATCCCAGGGATACAGATGTGCTGTTTCAAAGGGACACATGTACCTCCATGTTTATAGCAACACTATCAACAATAGGCAAAGTATGGAAAGCACCCAAATGTCCATCGATGGATGAATGAATAAAGAAGATGTGATATATATATATACAATGGAGTATTACTCAGCAATCAAAAAGAATGAAATCTTGCCATTTGCAACAAGGTGGATAGAACTAGAGGGTATTATGCTAAGCAAAATTAGTCAATCAGAGAAAGACGAATATCATATGACTTCACTCACATGAGGACTTTAAGGCACAGAACAGATGAACACAAGGGAAGGGAAGCAAAAATAATATAAAAACAGGGAGGGGGACAAAACATGAGACTCTTAAATATGGAGAACAAACAGAGGGTTACTGGAGGGGTTGTGGGAGGGGAGATGGGTAAGTGGATAAAGGGGGCATTAGGGAATCTACTCCTGAAATCATTGCACTATATGCTAACTAATTTGGATGTAAATTAAAAATATGAAATTTAAAGGTAAAAAAAAAGTACTTAATTTTCTGGCACTGCTCAACAGTTATTTTATGACAAAATATCTTGTCCATTTTGAAAGAGATCGTTTCTCTAATTATGAAGGACAAAATCACATAGGTCTCAGTTTATGTTTCATTTTACTGTTTTGTTTTTTTTTTTTTGCATACCCTTAGGCCTATAGAAGAGTACTTAGAATGTGAATGGAGTGACTAGTTTGTAAATGTGAAGGATGTCACATTATTGACTGATCTTTGTAAATTTTTCTGTAGTTATCAGCTAACGATGAGACAAATTATGTAGAGGATTACATTTGTCCCTCACTCTAAAAGCATAAATTTGTTGGGGGTGTGGGAGAGGGGAAAATGGGTGATGGGCACTGAGGAGGACACTTTTTGGGTTGAGCACTGGATGTTGTATGGAAACCAATTTGACAATAAGTTATATTTTAAATAAGTAAGTAAGTAAGTAAGTATCATACCCACTTAACCTCCCAGAAAAGAATGAGACTTTAGTTTTAAAGTAAGGTTTATTTTCCAATATATAAGAAACAGCTTGCTGTGTCAGTAAAGTGATCCATGTGACAAATGAATATTGAATTACTTTATTGATTAAGATCAGGTCCATTCTAAACACATCTGTCAAATGCTGTAAATGAGGTGATAGTTTAGATCTGAATATGGAACTAGCATGTTATGTTCCAGTATCTCTACAACTTTTCTTTACTGTGAGGGTGCAAGACTTCTTGTATTAAAGTGTTTTCTGTAATACCTGTGGAATGGTCTATGACATACAAGGAGGTAACAGTCATATTCCAGATACCATTTGAATGTCATCATGTAAATAAGAGGAAATTAATACTGTTAAAATGTAGTCCAAGATTTATTTCTCTATATTGTACCTTTTTAAAACAAAATTTTTTTTTAATATTTATTCATTTTTGAGAGACAGAGACAGAGCATAAGCGGGGGAGGGGCAGAGAGAGAGGGAGACACAGAATCCGAAGCAGGCTCCAGGCTCTGAGCTGTCAGCACAGAGCTCGACACAGGGCTCAAACTCACAAACCCGCAAGATCATGACCTGAGCCGAAGTCAGACGCTCAACCTACTGAGCCACCCAGGCGCCCCTATTGTACCATTTTGAAAGAATTTGCTGTAGCATTTTTAATTAATTATAAGCAAAATAGGCAATGTTAAAAACAAAAAGACAAAAACCTGAGAGTGTTTAAGAGGTAAAGGAAAGAGATGTTCCAAAAATCCTGACTGGAATTCATTTTCACAGTTGACACAAATATATCAGTTACATGGAACCTAAGCTTAAAATAATTTTATTTTATTCTTTTCCATTTATTTTAATCCATTGTCCTCCTAATTAAAAAGAATTGCTTTATTCTATACTCTAAGACTTAATGGCATATTTTATATTCATTCACATTAAATTTTAAATTTTTATCTGAATAAAAATGCCATTAAAATTGTTTAAATCTCAAATAATATGCTTCCTAATGTTAGAAAACCTGATAATTGGTATTTCAGACCTGTAAAGTAAATAGATGGTTTACACAGGGAAGTGTTTATAATAATAATTATAAACTTCGGGTTTCTGCAAATATTGAATTGCTTTGGAAGATTCAAGTATGACTGTTTTACCTCCACGTCGTCAATAGTAGGCTTAACTTTTTAAATTATAATGTTCCCTTAAATGTACTGTAGGTTCTGATAGGAGAGATTTAGGGAATAGCTTCTAGAGACAAATGTTGCTTTTGTTCGGTGTCATAGAAAATTTAAGATAGGTTCCCTGATATATGGATTTTTCTTGCTTCTCCATACTGAAATGATTTTAAACGATAGTGAGTTTTGGGGTGCCTGGGTGGCTCAGTCGGTTAAGTGACTGACTCTTGATTTCGGCTCTGGTCATGATCTCACGGTTTGGGAGTTCGGGCCCCGTGTCAGGCTCCATGCTGACAACCAGGTTCATGGGTGGCCTCCAAACTGCCACATCCACTGGGTCCTCTTCATGTCTTCATCTTTGTGGCAGTGAACAGTGACTGCGCCTTTCTCATGCTCCTCCTGCCTTTGCAGATTCGTTTTCTTTACTTCTTTAATATTGGTAGGTTTTGGTGTTCCCTCGTCTTTTTTCATCCTACATACTCAGAGTTACCATCTGTACACTCATGGGCAGCCCTCAGATGAACAGAGCCACCCAAACCTTTACATCCATCTGCTTAGTGATAATTTCCATCCAAGTGTTCCAGTGTACCAACAAGGCAGAGGTGGAACATCTTTCTCTTCTCCCAAACCTTCCCCATCCCATCCGTCCCCCCCATCTCAGCTAGCAGGATCAGCCTGCACCTTTTAATCAGAAACCTAGACATCCTTTTGGATTCTTCCTTCCACCTTACTCTCCCAGGGATCAATCATCAGTCCTGTTCAGTCTGCCTGCCTCTCAAACTTGTCTCCTCCTTTCCTCTGTCACTGCCACTGCCTTAAGTAGACACTCATCACATCCTGTGTGGACAATTCCCTTCCTCTGTCCTCTTCATTTGTATTCCTTACTCCTGCTACTATAATTGTATTCATAGGTAAATTCAAATCATTAACAACATCCCTGTTCAGAGTTTCCTTTTTTTTTTAAGTTCCTTTTTTTTTTTTTTTTTTTTTTCAGAGAGAGAGAGAATGTATAAGCACCAGCAGGGGAGAAGCAGAGAGAGGGAGAGAGAGCTGACAGTGCAGAGCCTGGTTCAGGGCTTGAACTCACAAGTCGTGAGATCATGACTGGAGTTGAAATCCAGCGTCAGATGTTTAAAGGACCGAGCCACCTGGGCGCACCCCTGTTTAGTGTTTTCTAATGGCCTGAGGAAGAAAATCTGCCAATTTGTTGTGGCATAAAAGGCTCTCCATGAGCTGGCCCTACTCATCCCCGCTCTTCAGGGATGATGACGAGATGCTTTCAATAACTTGCATTTACTCTCAGGGCAAAATTTAATGCCTTGGCACGGCAACACCAGTCACTCATATCTTCCCTACCTACGTTTCCACCCCCTCATACACACATATACCTTGTCAAGGTCTTAAGTATTTGTTCAGGCTCTTCCTGCACCTAAAACACCCTTCTTCTCTACTCCTCTAGTCTGTGTGATTAGTTCTTGTGTTTTCTTCAAGTGTGGACGCAAGCCCTACCATCCTCCCTCTCCATGATCCTCCCTCCATCCCACTGCTGCTGAGTTAAGGGGCAGCTTTCCAGGGCTGTCACAGCTCCTTGTGTAAGCTTTGATTTTTGTTCTTTTCTTTTCTTTTTTTTTTTCTTTTCTTTCTTTCTCTTTCATTCGTTGGTTCATATATTTATTTTGTAAGAGAGAAAGAAAGCATGTATGAGCAGGGTAGGGGCAGAAAGAGAAAATCCCAAGCATGCTCTGAGCTGTCAGCACAGAGCCCGACTCAGGGCTTGAACTAACAAACCATGAGATTATGACATGAGCCGAAATCAAAACTCAGACATTTAACCTACTGAACTACCCAGGCGCCCCTTGGTTCTTTCATACTGCCTTGGAATGTAGACTTATCATCTGTATTTTTCTCTGGACTAGTAGTTTTTTTATAGGGTAGTATCAACAGTGAAGGCTTCAAAGTTTTGGTTCCTAGATTAGAAACCTGGCTACTTGTCTACAGCCATACCCTGACGTGCCTGTTCTTGTCTGATCTTGGAAGCTAAGTAGAGTCAGGCCCGGTTAGTACTTGGCTGGGAGACCTGGCTACTTAATTTAACTTCCCTGGACTTCACTTTATTGTGGAAAGTAGGCATAATAAGAACCTCTACTTCAGGGGATGGTTCTGAGAACTGAATGAGGCATTCCATGTAAAATAGTTCACCTGTGTTTTAAATTCACAAAGAAATCATAGCTGTTATATTATCAATAGTAACAATACTGTCTGTATACCCAGTGTTTAGGACAGGCCTGGCACATAGACTTTCAAAGGTTTGAGTACATCAATAAACAAACCTGTTTATTCATTTTATGAAGCATTTTTACCCATATTAACTTACTTGAAAAGCATAGCCAATTAATGGAATTTGAATAAGTGGAAATACATTTTTTTTCATAATTATCTAACCTGACAATGACTTTATTATTTTAGTGAAAATTCGGAACTTTAATAAAGCCAAGCCACAGCCCGATGTACTTGAAGAAGAAAAAATCTATGCTTACCCCAGCAATATAACCTCGGAGACTGGATTCAGGTAGGCTTTGGGTGGGGTGTAAAAGACTAGAGAGAGAATTATAAAAATTTTTCTCCCCTGGAAATTTAGAAAACATTCTAATGCTTGGAGTTTATTATTATGCATATGTTCCTTTTTTGTTTGTTTGTTTTTGGTAGAAGTTTATTTATATATTTTGAGAGGAGGGGGGAGGCGCAGAGAGAGAGGGAGGGAGAGAGAATCCCAAGCAGGCTCTGCACTGTCAGCATGGAGCCCAATAGCAGACTGGAACTCATGAAGCGTGAGATCATGACCTGAGGTGAAACCAAGAGCTGGGTGCTTAACCAACTGAGCCACACAGGCACCCCCGTGCGTATGTGCCTTTAGAATTAAGTTCCATTTGCTTAATTCCATTCAACTGTAATGAAACCAAGTCTAATGAAAGAATCTTATTTTGGGATATTGCCTTGGCTTAAAATATCTTAAGAAAGAGTCACAAATACAATATGCTGTACTGAAAACTATTAGCGACCCATTTGCAAAGAGACCAATGAGTATTGGTGAATTTGTGCAACCCATTAATATCCTGATTGTTTGCAGGACTATTTCAAGCCTAGAAGACATCGTTGAAAAGCAAGGAGACATAATAGCGTACCTGAAGCGACACAATGCCCTGTTGAGTAAACGGTTGTTGACTTTCACTTCCTCCGAGCTAGACTCTCCACCTAGTAGAATGTGAGAGACTCAAGGCCAAGACAGCAGGTGCAGAGGACTCCAGAGTAACGTAAGACTGACTGACAAGCTGTCCTGGGGAATTGCAGCTTTTGCCAGATAACATTTGACAATTTTTGTTGGAAACCTGAATTTCATTTTCACCTGTGTGGCTGTTCAATATGTGGGACCTGCGGGTCACTTGAAAGGTACTTCATAGGTAACTCAAGGAGGTCTGTTTTTGCACATTTTATAGTTGTTTAACTGTCTGGTTTACCATAGGATCAAAAGTATAATTTAAACACCTCCTCGCTCAATGCTTGTACCACATGACATTAGAACCCTGTAATAATTTGGTTATTTATATAGAGGAAGTCTGACTCGATAATCTATTTTAAACAGGGTTTTGATCAAATAAGTTCTTTCCATTCTTAAACTGATGAGAGAAGTCATTGTTTCTGGTGATTTATGTTTTTTCCCCCTTCAGAGCTTTGTCATGTACTTGACATGCTCATGTGGTTTGGGATTACAGCATGACCTGTGCTGCAGCTTTTATGAAGCATTTCCTCACTGTAGGACCAAGATCTCACTAGGTGATTTCCTATGCAAACTCCTACAGTTTTCCATTCTCCAGAAATAAGATACTGAGTTTACGTGGACGAGTGTTAGACTGACCAGTGTTGCTTGTTACATCGGCAGTACTTTTCATTAGCAACGACTGAAATACTTAAGAGAAAACTTGAGAACTTTCCCTTTATTTTTTTTAATTTTATTTATTTATTGAGAGAGGTGGGGGACATGCACAGGACAGGCAGAGAGAGAGAGAGAGAGAGAGAGAGAGAGAGAGAGAGAGAGAGAATCCTAAGTAGGCTCCACACTGTCAGCACAGAGCCCAACATGGGGCTCAGACTCATGAACTGAGATTATGACGTGAGCCAAAATTAGAGGAGTCAGACACTCAACCGACTGAGCCACTCAGATGCCCCCCTACCTTTATTTTTACCCTTCTTCAAGAAGTTGCCATAGATTTCAGTATTGACTGTGCCTTGACTAGATCAAGAAAGATATGTTCTGTGACTTTAATTTGGTCTAAAAAGGGAAAGAGGACCTTTTTTAGTCTTGGATTATACTTTTTTTTTTTTTTTTAGGTTTTATTTATTTAATTAATCTCTGTACCCAGTGTGGGGCTTGAACTCACGACCCCGAGATCAAAAGGCTCACAATCTTCTGACTGAGCCAGCAAGGTGCCCCTTGGATTATGCTTTTAAATTATAGGAATAAAATGTCATATAAACTTATATAGATATTAAACATATCTCATTCTCCAGGGAAAATGAAGCACTTTATGAGTAAAGGGCATTATTTCCCCAGTTTTCCTAGTTTGCCCTTTTAATTTATCCATTTGCTATTAGCACCTTTATATACTGCCCTAGAAAGCTTAATATGAGGAGAGGGGATATTTGTGATTATGTATGTTGGTCACTAGCTGAATAATATTTCATTTGAAAACCTTTAAATATTAAATATTTCATTTGAAAACCCATCCAGGTACTTATGGAGGCCAAACACCAAGCTTCCCTTAGATATAGCGGTTACTGGACCATTCTAAAAGTTGTTTTGTTTTACCAAGGTAAAGGTGATGGTATATCCCCTGTAGGCAATACCCTTGAATCCCCAAATGACAACATCTACAAACTAAAGCCGAAATTATATTTTTAAGATTTAGATTGTATCCAAGTTTCCCGACTTCTCTCTCCCTCCTCCCCCTCCCCCTCCCCCTCCTCCTTCTTCTTTTTCTTTCCTTCCTTTTTAATAAGTCTATCTCAAAGTCATTGCCTTCTCTGGAAATCTGTCTCTGTGTTCTGGCAGAAGCCATAAACTGCCTCTGTTGGTTTGCAGCCTCCTTGGGAGCTTCCTGGGTATAATCTGAAACTGGCCCCACATAGAGGACAGAGAGCAACCAGAGAGAGAGGCAGAGCACTCCAGATTGGCAAGTAGGAGGTTTAATGAACAAGGGAACTTGTGTACAAGGCTTGTCTTGAGAGGCAGGCTGTCAGGTAAACAGATCTCTGCATCCACCCACCAGAATCTTAAGTTTATAAAGAGGCCTTAATTGGCCTCATATACCATCCGGAGGTCTCAACAGCACGTTATTCTCCCAAAGCTGTGTCCTCGGAACAGCTCCCACCATGAGACGGTGGGCAGAACGTCTATTCCAAGGACAGGGGAGGGGTGAGCAGCCTCCGATTGTCCAAGTTTAGCTAATGGGTCAGTTGGCAGTCATGTCCAACAGCCTTCAGCTATTTTCCTTTTCAAAAGGAAAACACCAGTGATAGACGATTCTTATTTAAATTCATTTAGGGGCACCTGGGTGGCACAGTCGGTTAAGCGTCCGACTTCAGCCAGGTCACGATCTCGCGGTCCGTGAGTTCAAGCCCCGCGTTGGGCTCTGGGCTGATGGCTCGGAGCCTGGAGCCTGTTTCGGATTCTGTGTCTCCCTCTCTCTCTGCTCCTCCCCCGTTCATGCTCTGTCTCTCTCTGTCTCAAAAATAAATAAACGTTGAAAAAAAAATTTTTAAAAATAAAATAAAATAAATAAATAAATTCATTTAGATCTATAGTCAGTTTCTAAGGGTGTATAGGATGAACTTTGGTTTACAGAGAAAGATACAGTTAAAAAGTTAGGATGCTCAGATTCTGATGTGATGTCTGTATAACCGCAAAGACTTCTCTAAACTCAATCATGAAAGTACCAAACAATGAGCAAAAATGAGATGAAGTATCAACTAGGAAAACAGGATAATGAACAAAGCACTTTAAATGTTAAGCATTCTATTCACCAGGCAGGTGGTGTGGTGGTACAGCAGACACAAAACTTAAGGAGACCCTGGTTTGTAAGGAGGAAGAGGACTAGGATTTCTAGGCTCTGTGCTAAGTGAAATAATGGCTATAAGCCCGAGGAACTATTGGAACTTCAGGCCAGGGCACCCTGGCAGGGAAGGGGCTGTGGGAATTCCAGGCAAATGAATGAGTAAAGGAGCAGGGCAAACAGCTGCAGAGATCGCAAGTGCTGTGCAGTTGAGTGTGAAGCACGACATGGGAGGAGAGGCGGACAGCATCAGATCTGGGAGAGTACCTTCTTGTTCTCTGTGCTGAGCGGCCCGCCCTGGAATGAGGTCCGCTGAAGAGTCTCAAGCAAGGAAGTGACGGAGTCAGTTTTATTTTTAGGAGCATCAGATTGTAGTACAAGGTGGAGAAAAAGTAGATGGCAGAAAGATTTGGCCCTGAACTAGGGCAAGTATAGTAGCATTCTAGTGAAAGTACATATGTATATATGTGTAACATAGATGTCTGTAATTTGGGGATTTTATTTCAGAGGACAATAGCATCATGACTTATATGTTAAAAGCTCATTTTTTAAAAGAGCACTATCGAAAACTATAAGGAAAAAAACTATCTGAAATCCCACTGCTAAGGAATTGTACCAGTTTATACTGCTTGTTGTCCCATACTTTCACCACCTGTGGGTATTTTCCGTCTATATTAAATTCTAGCCCTTCCAATGGGTTAAAAAAAATATATATATATGTATATACGTATATATATATATATATATACACGTATATACATATATATATATATATGTCATTGTTTCATATTGCATTTCCTCGAATGCTAATGAAGTTGAGTGTTTTCCCCCATATTCTTTGACCTTTTATCAATCTTTCGTGACCTGTATATATCATCAGGTCTTTTGCTTATTATTCTCCTGGAATACTCTTTTTCTTAACAAACATAATCTCACTTTATATATAAGGGTAGTCCTCAGTTTCTATCTGTTGGAAATATTTCATTGTTCTGTGTTCTTCTGCTATGATCTCTTCAAACACTGCAGCCTAGATTTTATCTGCTGCAGCCCTGGTGAAAAAGTTCACACAAATACATCCCTAAAAGCCACATCAGATGTTTCCTTGTGTGAGAGCCAGCAGTGTCTTGAGTGAATTTTAATATACCCAGCTTCTGAAGGTCCTTTTCCTTCTTCCAGGGATTCAGACCCAAGTCTTACATGAATCAAGCTAATTCTCCTTTTTCCTTTAAGGCAGCATTCTCCAACCTTGCCACTATTTTTTTTTTTTTTAACATTTATTTATTTTTGAGAGACAGAGTGAGACGGGGCGCGAGTAGGGGAGGGGCAGAGAGGGTCGGGGCAGGGGGAGCGGGGGGGGGGGGGGGCCCGCGGACACAGAATCCAAAGCTAGCTCCAGGCTCTGAGCTGTCGGCACGGAGCCCGGAGCCCGTCGCAGGGCTCGAACTCACGAACTGCGAGATTATGATCTGAGCCGAAGTGGGACGCTTAACAGACTGAGCCACCCAGGCGCGCCCAACCTTGTCACTATTGACATTTCAAGTTGGATTGCCTTTGTTTTGAGAGGCTATGCTATGAACTGTAGGATGTTTATTAGTATTTCTGTCTCTAGGATGCCACTACGTACCCCAGTTGTTACAGCCCAAAATGTCTCCATAACATGCATTTCATTTCATGTAACACTTAGCATTTAATTCAGAACCGACCATGTGCCCGAGTGTATCCTAGGTGCTGGGAATTCAGGGGTCAGTAAGACAGAGAGGGTTCCTGTTCTCATGGAATCTGCATGCTCATGATGGTGGGGCGGGGGGGGAGTAGAGGAAAGATGGACTTAAACACAGTAGACAAGTAAACCAACCATTGGGTTTGATAAATTCGATTATTCTGTAAATTAGACCTTGTGGAGTACTCTTATGTTGCTATGACTTACAGAGAAAATTGAACTTCTGTGTACTATAGCCTTTCAGAAAATCAAATGGCAAATGAAATGAACTTTATGTTCTTCTTCCTCCATCCTCTTTACAGAAAAGACTGACTTTAATGATCTCACAGCTTGATCAGAGATGCTTTTAGAAGTCTTAAATTCTTAAGGAAACAAACTTTGAAAATATGTCAATCACAAATCACAAAAATCTCAAAACATTACCTAGGTTTCTTAAGGAAAATTGTTTCTTTCTTTTTTTTAATGTTTATTCATTTTTGAGACAGAGAGAGGCAGAGTGCGAGCTGGGGAGAGGCAGAGAGAGAGGGAGACACAGAATCTGAAGCAGGCTGCAGGCTCTGAGCTGTCAGCATGGAGCCTGACGCGGGGCTTGAAGTCACAGACCATGAGATAGTGACCTAAGCTGAAGCCGGCTGCTTAACCAACTGAGCCACCCAAGCGCCTCCCTGCTCCTTTTTTAAAATTAATTAATTCATTTATTTTTAATTGCTTTATTTCTAAACCAAGGAAGCCTGTCTCTAATTCTTCTCTTCACGTTTTCTCTAATCTAGTCTTACTTTTCGCCCTACTACTCCACTGAAACTGTTCTTGTCAAGGTTACCAAGAAGGCCTTTCTGTATTGCTTGAGCTGGGGATGAATGCATAGGTCTCTCCTCTTCCTTAGCCTGTGAGCGGCAGGAGACTCAGCCGAGCACTCCCTCCATGATTCATCTTCATTTGGCTTTCAAGACACTGCAAACTCCTGGTTGTCTTCCGACCTCACTGGCTTCTTGTTCTCTCTCCTTTGCAGGTTCCTTTTCTTCTCATTGTTAGTGTACTCCAGAGCTCAGCCCCTGGGCCTCTTTCTTCTCCGTCAGGACTCACTTTCTTGGTAAACTTGTGTCTTTAATACAATCCGCAAGGTGGCAACTCCCAAATGTGTACCTCCGGTCTTTTTGAAGACTCCTATACCTAGCTCCCTCATCTAGCCCTCTACGGTAACATCTAAGACATCTCCAACATAACACATCAAAAGCCAGGCTGTCCTCCACAGCCTTCTATCTCCATAGTGACAGCTCTTCCACCCCTCACACCTATATACAGTCTTCAGGCAAATCCTGCTGGCTTTTCCTTTAAAATAGATCTAGAATCCATCATCCTCACATGGATTATTTTAATAATCTCTTAAGTGGTCTTTTGGCTTCTAACTGCCACACACGCCCTGCTCCCAAAACATCAGTGTTTAATATAGTAGCAAAGAGATTCTTCTAAAACACCCATCACGTTACTCTAATGGTTCCCTATCAGTAAAAACCAAAGCATGGCATTGACCTCTAGGACTCTAGAGAATCTGCCCACCTCCCACCCTTCCCTCCTCTCTTCCTACTCTTCTTTTACTTACTCTGTTTCAGTTACATTGTGATTGTTGGACTGTGAGACCCATTTCCACCTCAGACCTTTGCAGTTGCTGTTCCCTCTACTTAGAATTAGCCATTTACATATATCCTTCCTCCCAGTCTTTGTTAAATGTTACTTTCTCAGTGAAGCCTGCTCTGGACCACTATTTAAAACCACAGCTTTCCCCACACTCACCATTTTCTATCTTCCTTACCCTCGTAGGGGTTTACACTGTTACCCCAAAACATGCCACTTTGGCTTATTGATTACTTTGAATTAAAGATACTTGAGAAACAGTGACCCTCTCAGAAACTCTGACCCTCCCCTTTCCCCCCTGAAAGGAGATTATAAATGTCCCATGTGAAAGCTGTCTGCCTTGTACGAGGAGGGTAGAAGGCATCCTTATGACCAGACATGGGGTTTAAGGCTAAAGAGACTGTATAAACAAGCCTTGATAATTCTTCACCCCAGTTTACTATCCCTAAGCCCAAACCCCTTTGTCTTGTCAGTTTTTCACAAATGTATTGTTTCTTTGTCTAAAAGGTTTAAAGGCTTCCTGCTATGAGTCTCATCTTTTTTATGGGGCTCCTGTATGTATGAAATTAAATTTGTTTTTTTTCTTGTTAATCTGTCTTATGCCCATTCTGTTACCAGGCCAGCCAAAGAATCTAGAAGAGAAGAAGGGAAAATTTTTCTTCCTTTATACCCTGTTTGATTCATCCCCCACTGTACTTATCTCCTACAGTATGATATAATTTACTCATTTGCTTGGTTTCTCTCTCCTGATTAGAATATAATCATATCAATTCAAATTTAAATGGTAAAAAAAAAACAAAAAACATTATCCTGCATAAGATTTTCATTTGAAAAGAATGCTACAGAAAAGAAAATCAGTAGAAAATATCAGACATGTTTCCAGTAACATCAGAAATGAGAATGTCTACACTTATTATTCTAGAGGTTTTAACAAAACATGTATATAAGAAAAACAATATGGAGCTATATAATTTGAAAAGGAAGTGATAAAATTAACACTGTTTGCAGATAACATGATTGAAGATGCAGAAAACTCCAAAGAACCTACTGGGAAAACTATTAAAAACAAACAAACAAACAGAAATGAGAGAATTCAAATTCAGTAAGATGACCGGGTGCAAAGTTAATATGTAAAA